AGTACGATCTTGGCGCGATGTCGCATGCTTCGCTTCTATCACACAGCCTCGCCCTTGACCCGCATTGCTATGCCCTCGTCATGTCACTTGCACTCACTCTATTGCCCTCACTTGGTTAGTTGTGGCGTTGAGGGCTGCGATGGGCACGGCAGTCGCTTATGCATTCGCCGCGTTAGGCCTTACTGCATGCGCAGGTGCATGTGTCGATGTTGGTTTTTTGTTTCTTTGTGGCCTGCAATTTTTTTCTGTTTATCTCATGGTAATTTTTTTAATTTTATGTTGGTTTGTTTGTTTTCTGCGTATAACCTTATTTTTGTTTTAAGTTTCTATTGCATTTTCTTTTGTGACCTTCTATATTTTTCTGCCCTTATAAATTGCTCGTTCTGTGTATATTTTACGTTTTGTAAGTTATCGGTTGGTTATTTTCGTTTTTTGTTAAGTGATAAATTAATGAAATTAAATTTCATATCGACGTTGACATGATTGGCTTTTGTTTCTTTCCTTGTATTCATTGCTCTTAACTTTTTCTCGTTTTTATATTTTGTTTTTTTTTATGGCTGACAGGTCTTTTAGGTTTATTTTGTAGTTTATTTTGAATTGGTATTTTTACTTTTTTAATTAGCTACTTTGTTTTTGTTTCAGTACGTTTTTCTACTTCACACACCTGTAGGCATTGGTTTTTCTTTCTCTTCCTCTTTAGCGGTCTTGAGTTATGTCACTCTGTTGCATTCGTTTATGTTTTACGTTTTCTTAATTAGATTTGCGCTACGATGTTGGACCGGAAATATGCGAAACTGATTGGTGTCATTGACCAAGGTACCAGCAGCTCGCGTTTTGTTGTATTTTCGGCGATAACGGGAGAGGTTATTGCCAAACATCAGATTGAAATTGGTCGAGAACACCCGGAATCAGGATGGGTTCAGCAGTCTGCAGACGACATCTATCAAACTACTTTAAGTTGCATGAATGCCGTTGGCAAATTGTTGCGATCTCTTGGTGTTCCTGTCAAGGTAATACTGATGTTAAAATGATTAATTGGGGCGAGGCGAAATATGCCTAGACTCTAATGCGTTTATTATGTATTTCAAGAATATTGCTTCAATCGGCATCACAAACCAACGTGAAACTATAATTGCATGGGATAGCAAAACAGGTGACCCTCTCTGTCCGGCTATAGTATGGTCCGACTCCCGAACGTCCGATCTGGTTCAAGTTTTTATTGACAAAACCCCGATGAAAGATAAAAACACGTTTCAGGTAATTAAATATGCCGTAACCTTTTGGCTCCTTGCCCGTTGATTTATGTATTCTCCTTTTTGTAGAAAAAGACTGGCCTAGCGATTCACAGCTACTTTTCGGCACTAAAGATCCGATGGATGCTAGACAATGTACAGGCTGTACGGGAGGCAAATGAAGATGGGAGGTTAAAAGTCGGCACTGTCGACTCCTGGTTGATTTACAAATTGACTGGTGGAGCTCGTGGTGGCAAACACTTAACGGACGTCACCAACGCTAGTCGCACCAACCTTTTTAACATTAGAAAATGTCGATGGGATATGGAATTGTGCAGGTAATTTTTCAGTTTTCTTAGTAATATTACTGGTCTTAATGCATTTCGCATTATTCATGTAGTAACATACAAATAAATTCTTAGCTCTTGATTGATTACCTTTACTGTATATATCCTAGTTTTATTCTCTTGCCATGCAAGATCACCTTAATTTAGGCAAGTAGTTTTTGCAATGAGTAATGATTTGACATGATGTTATGAAACATTAAGCACTTATCTTTCAGCAGGTCAATTGACTTATGTCAATTTCGGCCGTCTATTTATGGACTAACTTCACTGAATAACCTGTGAAAGTTTTCTTTTTGCAGTACAGCTCAATAAAATGTTTTTTTTAAAAAAAAAACACTTCATCTAGTGGAGCAAAATGGTTAGTTATAGGAATAAAAATATTGAAATATTTTTACGACTCAAAGCGCTGTTTTTTATCACGATGTGTTTTATGTCATGAGTTATTCTGCTGCCATCCGAAATAAAATTTCAGCGTTTTCGTTACAGTTTCGTCGGCATTGATCCAAAAATTCTTCCCAAGGTCATCAGTTCTGCCCAGGTCTACGGCCATGTGCACGACGATGACTGCCTTTTGAAAGGGGTCACTATGGGTGGCATCCTCGGTGACCAGCAAGCTGCCTTAGTGGGTCAGACCTGGGATCCCAACCCTGATTCCAACAGTCCTCGGCCCCACGTAAAGGTCACTTATGGAACTGGGGCATTCCTGCTCTGGGATATTGGAGAAGAACCGTCCTTTTCCCCTCACGGTCTTCTTACCACAATCGCCTACCAAATGGGACCTACGGCAAAAGTTCATTATGCCCTTGAAGTACGTTCCGGTTTCTCATAAATACTCAACTTACTCTTTATCCTGTACTTGTGCATAGTTAAAGTAAGTAATGAGCTTTGGCTACTTTATTTTGAATTTAAAATGCCCAAACAATTTTCATTTTTGTAAAGTAACTGACACTCATGTAGCCCAATAATGCTGTGCCTAGGATTTTGGTAATTAGCTTTAGGCATGTTGTGGCCTACATGGTGTCATTTACACTGCACACAAATATTTGAGCGTCTTAAAACATGGATTGTAAATGTTGGAATGTCTTAGGAAGTCAGCTCTTCACGGAGCCACAAATCTTGCCACTTGCTGTGTTTTCAAATTTAATGGTGTTAAATTAAATTGATAAACAGGCTTAGATTTTCCGATTTCTTCAACACACAAATCAAGCCAGTTAGTCTCTTCAATTTGCCACATGCGACTTGAATAACACTTAACTTTTAGAATTGCGCAATGGAATTATAATGCTGCACAGTGCTATCAGTGTTCTCGAAGCTGAAAGCCTTCTTTGTCAAAAGATTTTATTTATCAAGCAATTAATTTGAGTCTATAAGCTTTAAAACTTCAAACTTGTGTTCCCTACCAATCCTAAATTTCTTCGTGCACTCCAAGTAAAGTTGAACTTCTAGAGTTAAATAACGTTCACGGTCCCGCTATTCCTTTAATAACTATGGTGTTATACCAGAATGCAATTTACAGTGTGCACCTCCATGCTTTTAAACAATGAAACTTCATTTCTGCACATCCAGTTCAAAAAGTATTTTTGCCTTACCTGGAAATTATATGCGTTGATGTTTGCACACTGGTTGACTTGGTATTTGTTTAATCAATTCTTTCAATTAAAACAACTTGCCTCATCGACCACCTGAATAGCACTAAATAGGTCCACTGTGATTGTTTAAGTTTAAACCTGACTGTAAGGTTTTAGGAGGTTGTGCAAATTCATAAATCACCTAAGTCAAATTTCGTTTAGGCTTTGTGATTCCCAGTGCAGCTCTATAAAAAAGTGTAAGTGTGCAGTACGAAAACGCTTTATTCAAAATCTTACTTAAGGGATTCCAATGGCTTTAACTCCCTTAGAGTTTCTTACATTATGCAGTAACTGTTGATTTATTGTAACTTAACTAAACCTTCTGCTTAAGGGGGCTGTAGCCTACTCTGGAGCCACTATGGACTGGTTGCGAAAGAAACTGAAACTCTATGACGACCACAAAGTTGGTGACGAGCTCGCAAAGCAAGCTCTCATTGAAAACCATGGTGTAATTGATGGTGGAAACACAGGCCAATTAACATCCCTAAAGACCATGGACGCCTGTTACCTTGTGCCGGCTTTCTCCGGCCTCTTCTGTCCCTACTGGAGGGAGGACGCAAGAGGCGTCATCGCAGGGATTGGAGAAGGATGCACCAATGGGGACCTTATCGCTGCTGGATACCGGTCTTCGGCATATCAGACACAGGAGGTATTGCAGGCAGCGTGTGAGACTGACAGAGGGCCGAAAAGACGCCCACCAAGGGTCATCTCAGTCGACGGCGGCTTGACAAACAGCTGCGTTCTCATGCAGAGTTTGGCCGATATAACTGGTACGACCCATTACTGATCATTTCATTGGTCAATTGTTTAACCATCACTGCGGGTCTCGTTGTGGCTGAGGCGGTAAAGTATAACGATTCCAGAAGTTTCCTTTTGGATCTTATGGTATCAATTTTTTCCAATCTGCCGTATAGCAATTTCAAAACTTTGTTGATATTATGTAACTTACACTTGCTAAATTCTACATCATTTACAAAAGGAATTTTTTCTTCTGTGCTTCCCTTACACTATAAAAATAACAGTTTCATAAACTATAAACGCATTTTAAAAATTAGTGCATTTTTTCGACGGTTCCAGCAAATATTTTTCCACTGCTGCTTTTATAACCCACCTTGAAAAATGTCTGCTAATTACTGCACCTATAATGTACTTCACGGTATGTACACCCATAACTTGTGCACTTGGCTTTTTCCCATTCTTAGTATTGCATTAGTAGTTGCCAAACTTCATGTTTTCATTTGAAATTGATTTTTTTAAGTCTTTATTTTCTGTGAAATGTCTACTTAATGTCTCTTTAACTGCTGGTTGGCGGCCTAACTTATGATTTTTCTCAGTAAATTAATTAGTAAAAGTTTTTTTTCAATAACTCAGATTGAGGGCAAATTAATTTCATGGCAGAATTACTGGCCTTCTGGAAATAATTAGTTAGCATTGCTTCTGATCTGGTACATGCATATCAAAAATACTTTAGTGGCCACTTCAAAATATCTAAAAATTTTTGTTGCTTTTACAAGCACATTTGCTTTTTTGTTGCAGGTTCTAAAATAATTCGTCCGAACAAGTCCGATGTGATGACTGCTCTTGGTGCTGGAGTTGCTGCTGCCATCGCCGTGGGAATTGACCCCACAGACCTCCTGTCGATTCGACAGCACGAAGGTGGGGAGCAGGAGGCCAACACGTTCCGACCTCTTGTGTGTCCCAAGACGCGTCGCATGTGGATAAGGGGCTATAAGAACGCGGTCCAACGAAGTCTTAATTGGCAAACCGACGCCATTGCTGCTGCCGCCGATTCAGACGACGAAGAATAACCTGCCACACCTTAACCAGCCTCACTTTTGTTGATATCACTCGGTGTAATCGCTTGATAACCATTTTCTTGCTTCAAATCCATGGCCTTCTATTTAATATACTTTCATTTGCGTTCTCAACGCACAAGACAGTGTGTGAAGAGTACATAAAAATGCACCAAAATTGTCTGATATCTAAAAACTTTTTACTTTGCTTATAACTCTAGGAGGCTTTGTGAAAGGAATCCTTATAAAGAAGAGGAGCACTACATTATCTCAGCAGTGGTGGTTGAGCACTTAATTTAGTAGCCAGATGCCTTAAGAAACTACACAATACCAATGCGCATGTTAATATTTGGTTGAATGGAAATTAACGGCGTTAAACCAGCGCTCAAAATCACGTCACCTTGACTGTCGTTGTATTGTATATTAAAATCACCGTCGCATCCGTCTAGTTCTCCCATATTACCGGTCTGTCTTTGGCACAAAGCAATCTGTCCCCATAAAATTGTTCAAATCAAACATATTCTTTAGCGGCCGTGATGGGCGCTGTGAATTTGGGATTTTGCCGATAAAAATTGCTGTTATTTTTCTATCTCCATCGTGAGATGTATATCCACGTAGATGCTCTTCTAAATCACACTTTAAAATTTTACTCCGCATTTCCACCAAAAGCTTTTGTCACCATCTGATAGACTTATCAGCACCTAAGCTTTAATGACAGTAGAACTTTAGGACGTTAAAGCACTTTTAGGTAAGGCCGCAATCGAGAATAATAGAAATTTAAAGCAAAAAATTAAATGAACGAAATCTCTTTGGACTCCTAGAGATATCTTGTTAAACTGGGGCTGTGTAATTAGCTTTTATGTATACGTTTTCACATGTTAAAACTGTGAAAAAAAATGTTTAGTATTCTACTTACTCGATTTTAAGAAATATGCCATAAGTTTTGCCTAACTTTTGACTTTACCAATTCGGCAGTCGTGGCTCAGCAATCTTTTTTAAACCGATTTTTAATAGTTAGGCTTAAACGTTGTGGTTGTAGGGAAAAAGACAAGGTAAGGATCGTTCATTTCCTTCTTGGTTAGAAGCAAGGCGACTGGTAGGCCTAATCCTGAGACCGAGCAGATGATTTTTCAGAGTTCTTGTGCCTAAAAAGAGCAATTTTTAGTCCCGATCAGATCGTTTTTAAATCACCGACAATATTCTCTTTTGGCAGAAACTTCGTTTGTTCTTTTGCATTTTTGGTGCACACTCATTATTGACTTACCGATTCCCCTGTGAAGCTGGAACACCAAAGTCCAAGATATGCCAGCTGGCAAACCATGGAATTAATGTGATACTTTTGGTCACAATGAGTTTAGTTCCCCTGATCGCCTTTTAGCATGATTCTCTGCCCGTTTTAGTGGGAAATTAATAATTGTTGGACTAAGTCGTGCCAGCAGCGGGGATTGAGTCCTGCGATGGAGCGTGAATCGAATTTTATTTTTTTCAAGTTTGAAATATAGGTGCTCTATAATCCTGGACTGGAACTATTTTAATTGTGCAATCACTGTTCGAATCGGGGCTGTGACTGAAACCTTAGGTTATTTTTGTCCTAATATAATCACCCAGAAAGTTTCTAGACTATATTTCCAAATCTCTAATGTGCAGTTTTATTTGCTCAAGCGTTTAGCCATTGATGGGTCATGTTTTATTGGCCTTAAATGCTTTGTTATAGCTTTATTTCGGGTAGATAAGCAAGAAAATAATCATTCTGAACTAAATGGCGTCATTCTTGACAGATTAAATAACTTGCTGCCGGCATGTGACTACGTGAATATGACTTTAAGCTGGCTGTTAGACTTGTCAATGCCAGTTTGACAGCAATCACGCATTTGTGGAACGTGATATTGACGGCTGACGTGCTGAGGGGCTGAACAGGAATCCAGCCGTGCCGTGGAATAAATTAGGGAAGCCAAAAGTGCTGATTGGATGTTCTGGATCATAACGTGCGTCACAAATGTCTCAAGAGATGAAATACTAGAAAACCACTTTTACTTAAGCTTCTTCGGGGTGAAAAGGAAGAGAGTAGCTAGAAGCAGCTAACTTTTTGTCAGCATAGCATATACATGCCTGAATTGAGGTGAAATAGTTGAATTTCCAGATGCCGCCACCAAGCTCTGTTTTAGGATGTTGACTAACCGTTGGCTGACGTCTTAAGTGTCGGCAACTCAGTCATCTGGGTGTGGAGGTATCAGTGCGTGTTCTACTAATCACACCCTGAATTCACGGAGAATCTCTCACGTGCACTTTTGTGCTGAAATTTCATTTTGCCTTAACGAAATCTCTACGTGGCAACTAATTTCACTGCTAAACCAAGCCTTATTTTACTTCATGTCTTGACATTGCATTTAAAATTCCAGCTCAATAAATAACTTTCATGATTCCATCGCGCTTCTATTTATATTTTATCCGAGGCACTTCAACCTAACATGCCTTGCTGTTGCTTATTCACTTTATTTATACGTTTCAATTATGTCCAAATACACCTTAAGAAGCCAGTATGGACTTTTAACAACATAGCCAGGTGTCAAAATGACCTTTCTTGTTTACATTTGTGTCTTGACTGCATACTTAAGTTTTGTAATTGTGATATTACCGTTTCAACCGCAACTAAATTAACACTGTCTTCACGATCGTGGTTCACCTTCATTTTTTTCTGTGCAATTAATTAAATCGATTAACTTAGACCAAGAACAAACTATTTTTAAAAGTTGGCTGCGAAATTGCTCTTCATTGTCACAACCCACCAAAATGAGTTCCGTTTATTTAAGGGTTAGGGAAGATTGAGGGACAATGCTCTGCAGACTTTCTACGATAACTATTTTACCATGCAAATTTCCTTGATTAGACTAACATGGCTGAGTTATAATTATCAAACAACGGAGGTAAATAAGGCAGGAAGGATAGGTGCAATTGCCTTCTTGGGTTGTTCCCTGGCAGTGGGTTTCGCTACCGACTCCAATTCCACCACCATGTTTGCTTAGCGTTCATAGAATGATTTTATAGTTAAAAAAAGTACTCTGCTCAAACACTTTTTAAAAACTGACATAATTCGCGAGCGCTTTTGGTACTTTTGTGATAAGCCTAGCAAACTGAATGTTTGTCTGACATAATCCAGAAGTTGTGTAAATGGATAGTCTGTCGAATGCTACTTAAGAGGAATTACATTTTAACTCATTCGTGACCTATTGTGTCATCAATGGAACTAACCGTATAACAGGCAGACGAATCCTTACAAAACTTGACATCTTTTCTAATGTGATGTCATTAAGCTGTTTAACGTTAAGCCTAAGCATAAGTGGGTGTGTCGATTTAGCTTCAGATCTCACATTCGCCCGCGCTATTTCGTTACTTAACATTACGCGACAGAGCAATAAGCAGATTTAAGCCTTGTCTCGGCCTCAACTGAGTCTTCCTCTTTGCGTGCAGATTGACAAATTTTCTGCCCTAGATACCGTGTTTCGCAACTTGCCTTGTTTAATCTTTCTTCTATCGTCATTTATTTATTTTATGTAATACTCCATTGAAGGAGTCGAGTTTGAAACACTAACTGGGGTGCAACAATCTTCCTGTTTCTTAGAGTACTCCTCATAACCCGTAGAATAAATAAATTGGCTTTTAAAAATGTATCTCACGTTCCTCTGTGTGTGTGCGTGGGATTTCTCCATTCGATTACGCAAATGAAAGTAAATGTCAAACCGTCGTAGACCACACCCACTAGATCAGACACCTCAGCTTAATTTTGAGTCGCCGTATGACGCTAGTGCAAAGAGGTAAAAATTATGGACTAAATTTAATATTGGAGGTTTACAGTCAACCTGCGTCATTCGGACTGCTTAAGCCGTAAATTAACTAAGCCAACATTTTTCCATCTAATTAATAAAAGGGTCTATCAACTTTTGACTTAACTTCACAGCCATATAGTATTTTTTCTATTCATCAAAGCAATATTTAACATTAACAAACGTTTCTTCAGCTTCCTTTTAGCCTGTGTGGTAGTGTTGGCGGTGCTGATAAATCGATGCCGCCTTGGTAGTGGCAGAAGGGCGTGGCTCTGAAGACCAAATTGAAGACTTGGAGACACATCTTGGCACCCTCGCGAACGACACACTCGCACGTTAAAGGGCTTTCGTGTTCATTTTTAATTTAAAAAAAGTTATCTCAAGCTAATGCAAGACCCATAGTTATGGGGTTTGTTTGAGACTTCGGGGTCATGTGCAGTCTCGGCAACAGGAACCATCACATGCAGGCGGTTAAAGATCGCGCTCAGATAGTTTTGACGTTCTTCTTAAGTGGCCAATGCGGGATATTTCTGTGAAAACACATGCCAACTTTGAAATAGTTATTATCGTGAAACTCTTGTTTGTTTGCCTATTTTGGGGTTGGGAGTGGCGCAGAAGAAAGGAAACCTGCTCCGCGACTAGAATGGACTCAGATAGGTTTACTCGGAAAAGTTGCAAAACTTACACCTTGACTTCGAAACCTTTGAATTAAACGGCATTGACGCTAAACGCAGGAGCTGAATAATATACAGATTTGCTAATTATGTCTATCGATACACTCGTATTGCCTTATGCAGTAAAACCACAGCCGCCTTGACAATTTTTTTTTCAGGAAATCAGCGACATATGCTTTGCTTTTCAAGCACTAAAATGCTTCTTCTGTGTGCAAATTATTGGCATTTTAAGAGTCTTGTTTGAAATTACATGTCCCTATAAAAGCATTCAAATTTAGTTTTCCAAATTATGCAATAATTGCCCCTATTTATCACTGATAGCCATAAGACAATCAAGACCGTCAATATTCCTTGGGCAGGTAGTGGAATTGTTATTTCTGAACGCCCAAAAGTCGTTCCTCCAGCTTTTATTATTCTTGCACTATACAGTTTGCGTATTTTAATTTGATTTGCATCTCTTTTTGCAATACCTTAAAAAATTTACCCGGATGTTTATTTAGTGAGTTATAAACACAAATAG